AGGGATATGTGAAACGTCGTGACGAGTGCATTTCACTTGAACCGAATCCAACCTCCTAGGCATACAGTGTCCTCTACAGTACGTAGAGCCAAAAACGATACTGTGGTTCGTCCAGTCAATTTGAGGGTTGTGGAGAGCGAGCCACGGGTGTCCTATGATGATGTTGTGGGAGGCGAGTTTAGTAACATGGAAGCGTTGTTGACGTTCTACATGCTTCCCGACAATCATGTCCAAGATAACTATATGAGTAACATCACCTGCTGAAGAAGGTCTCCCGTCCGCGATGCGGAGACGACGAGGCCGAGCGAGTGGGACGAATTCAAAACCACAATTTTGCGCATAATCGGAATCAATGAAATATTGAGCTGAAGCCCCAGAGTCGAGCATAAAGTAAGTAGTAGAAGTTATGTGTTTGGTATTGCCTTTCTGTACTACCTTACAAGGAACCTCCATCGTACTTTTCTGCCTTTCCTCTAGAGATGATATCTTCAGGACCTTCTTCCGAAGACGTCTCTGACGGCGACTTTCGTCAGAGACTAGACTTTTCCCGCTTCCTTCGCAGCTTTCGTCGACTCTCGAGCCTCAAGCTTGGGACATCCAGTGGTGCCAATATTGTGGTCGGGGCTATCGCAATAGTGGCAAAGGTCGTGTTTGATTTGGTAGGCTTTGCGAGCTGTCTTCTCTTCATCGGTCTTCGCACGACGCTTTGCTTCTACGTCCTTCTTAGTCCAAACGAGTCTTCCAGCAACTTTCATCATATCGAGCTCCATCGGGTCTTCGTAAGCAGTAGCAGTAGCAGTAGAGGCAGTAGGCGTCGGGACTGTATAGGGGGTAAGAGCCATGGAAGCGAGCTTGGTAGGCTTGGTCTTGGTGAAGTGTTCGCCGAAGATCTTTCTACAGTTGCGGTCTTGCTCTCGGACAAGGTTGACTAGGTCGTGGGGGGACATGTCGTCGCTATATCGGCCGCTGGAGAGGACTTGAGCATGAATGCGTCTGTCCATATTCTGCATGAGAAGGTCAATGACAGGGAAGCCTTCGTTTCCAGAGGCAGACGCCAGTGCTAAGAACGAGCTTAGAAATTGGTCAGTAGGGCGAAGTCCCTGAGTCTCTTTTTTCAATAGCTGCCAGCTGTCTGACTTACTATAGACATTACCAAAGGTTCGGCGTAAGACATCGAGCATGTCGTCGACCGATGACAAGCTTACTTTGAAGGAGCTATCGTCGTTAATGTGAGGGTCGATGTGTTTGCGAGCATCTCCTTCCAAAGTACTCAAGACATATGCCATCCTACTTCTCTCAGTAGTCCACCAGTCAGCGTTCTCGGCTAACTTCAGCTTCAGGTCGATAATGTATGTATGAAGTTCGGCAGCTGAGCGTCGCGTGCCGCCGAATCGTTGAGGGTCAGCGTAAGGTTGTGACCGAAGTGTTAGAGGGGGTGGGTAAGCGTGAACTTGTGGTAGAGGCTGAGGTTGAGCTTGGGGTTGGGCATAGACTTGAGGCTGGGCTTGAGTTTGAGCTTGAGCTTGAGCTTGAGCTTGATTCAAGGCTTGGCTTGTGGTATGAAATTGAAGTTGCATAGCGTGAAGTTGGTTTCGTAGCTCTGCGGTCGTATTCTGTTCTCTCTCAAGGTCTGTGATTGCTTCTTCTTCGTCGCGACGAGAGGTAGCGTATTGGACTTGAAGTTGGTCGTGCTTGTTGAGGAGGTCTTGTAGGGCGTTACGAATACCATCCGGGTCATTGGGAATAGTAGTAGGTTTACTGATGAGGTTTCGAAGTTGCTCAATCGTGTAACCTCCTTCTGGTGGTGGTGGTAGCTGGTGGTTGTCGCGGGAGGTGGACGAGGTGAATGGGTTGAGGAAGCTAGGCAAGCCGGTATTGGCTGCCCATCCTTCGAACCCGTTGTTGTTGCTAGTACTCATCTTGAGGTGTTTGCAGTACGATGGCGATGCCTGTCGTACGACAAAAATTGAGTAAAGGGCAGACAATATGTCAGGGTGTATGATTAGATTGTCTGCGAGGAGAGAAGAGTTCTCCAAGCAGAAGTGCTACTTATCTATCTACAGTGCCTTGTTTCCCGAAATCTACCCGACACCAAGCCTCGAATTCACTGAATCAAATCTGTTACACGGAGTTGGCTCGCGGTGGATATAAAAAGTGGCGGGCCCGTGCACACTCCTGAAAAATAGCCATATACTTGATATCTGTGTAGCGTAATACAAGAGCACCGTAAAGATTTACAAAAAATATGTTTACAAACGGAATCAATTGATTAACATTTAACACGGTTTTAAAAGAATTTGGATTTCGCGTTACTGTGAAATTGTACCTAAAGTTTAGGCGAAGATTTCTCGTTTACACTGAGGTCCCGCCACTTATTCTGTCCACCGCGAGGTTGGTTGGCTGTTTAGGGACAAGGGTACGGTATCTTTTCATGGCAGTTCTGGTTTTCCTTAAAATCTCTCTCATACTAAGGTTGTCATTCGCGAGTGTTTTCAATTCAGATTTCTGATCCGCAAATACGCACTTATATAAGTGCATGTTTATTCTCTTTCACAAAGCTTTGTATAGACAAGAAAGGAGCAAGGAGTAAATTTCTCTTTTTTGCAAAATTCTACATGGATTTGAACAAATGAAATGGAACTTTGCATTAGTCTTCTCTGGTTGTCTCTGGTACGGCATCCTGAATGTACTAAAAGGTCGAATAGACTTAATACTAATTCCCAAATCGCAAAACGTAACGTAAAACGCAAAAGTCATATATTTACCGTGCTAGAGTGTATATACCCCTACACCCCACGTACTTAAGACGGGGGCGTGATTATATAAACTCGCTACCTACTGTTGCACCCTTACTGTTTTATCTTTACTATTGTATCCTCACTACCGCCTCCTTACCGTCGCTACGCCCTTACTATCGCTGTCGTATCCTTACTATCGCTACGTCCTTACTGTAGTATCCTCGCCGTTGCTGTTACTGTCGCTATCGCTGTTGTAAAAAAAGAAAGAGAAGAGAAAAGTAGGAGGGAGAGATTAAGGAAAGGTAGGAAGCAAACAATTGTTAGCGGAACACGTGCTAGTCTAGCCGTTTTGGGAAGGTAGTATTCGGGGCTGGGAATAAGCGACACACACAAGTACAACTAGAATATTTCCCCGCTTCTGTCTCTCTCTCTCTCTCTCTCTTCTAAACAACATACTAGGGCACAACCCTATCCGAAAGCGGGATTGCGGCAGCGAGGATGCGATAGCGAGGATACGACAGTAAGGATACGACAGTGAGGATGCGACAGTGAGGATACGACAGTAAGGATTCGTCGACAGCGAGGGTAGGCGACAGCGAGGGTAGGCGACAGTAAGGATACGAGGGTGGTAGGTAGGTATACAAATATACACGTAAAATATGAGGTCTGATCGCACGTGAAGTTAAGAATAAGGTGGGGGTGTGGGGGTATAGACCCTCTAGCACAATAGTAGTAAATATAACTTTTGCGATTTGCGATTTACGAATTAGTATTAAGTCCATTCGACCTTTTAGTACATTCAGGATGCCGTACTCTGGTGACTTTGAATAATTATGCCAAGCCCCTGAGCACCAGAAAAGTGTTTTCTATAGTGAGAATGGAGAGAGATGGCTTTTACAATAACTGGAGCAAAAACTTCTACGCGATTCACAAACAGTTATTACTGTGTGGTAATGTACATCATTAAAATTCTAGCTTTCCATAATACTATGCGTTATGACACATGCAACCCAAGCAACCGCTTCATCTTTCCCAGTTCCAATAACCCTTTGTTATAATATATTCACTGGTGAACCATTCACTTAATCATTGTACAGCCTTAGGTACCGCCACGCGTCTATATATACTGAAGTGCCAGTCCCTCTTTAGGAAGTTCAATCTTTACTTCTACATACCACAACTCTTTTGATCGTTAAACTTGCTGCACATCGATAGCCAAGTCTTCAAGTCTTCGACAAGAATACATTCCCTCAATACATCAACCCACTTCATATCATCAAACATGACGGCAGCATCCCAAGCTTCGCCTCTCTTCGCATCTGCGCTCATCTTCGGCCTCTTCTCCTTCTTCTCCCTCTTCGCAGAAGTCGTCGGTACTCCAACTTCAGCCCATCTCGCTTAACGTGACGTTAATCCAGACCACATCGCCAGCGTTGTTATCATTGGAGTGGGTCTCGCAGTGTTCTTTGGGGCTATTGGAGTAACGCAGTGGAAGTACGGCGACTTCATTCAGTGGTTTTTCAAGGAGTTTATCTGTTGCTGTTTCCCCAAGCAAAAGCGATCGGACTCAAGACTTGAAGCAAAGGATGGCTCTTCTGAGGGTTCTGCTTAGGACCATGATATTCGAAACATCTGGGGAGGTCGCATGGTAATTATGAGGATTTCGGTCGCAGTCAGGTTCTTGGCGAAGCCTCTTTTTCGTGGTAGTTCTGAGAGTAGGGCTTTTCCTTCATTACTCCTTGAGGTTCGTAAACTTGCGCACATTTGTCAAAGAAGCAGACTGACGCCAAAGTTGCCATCAAGGTCGTCATTCACTTTCCACACCCGGCGCTCGCGGTTTGGTTATTGGTATCTGCAGTGCAGAAGTCGTCTTTTGCGAGGTACCACTTTAAATGGAATGAATCTGACCCTAAATCAACATGCTTTAGTGAATGGTGAATCTTTTTTGAATCTCAAAAATGCATGGTCTGCTATATCTCATTTTTCAATAATTCTGTAGATTAATTAGGATCAAATTACGGATTTGTAGACTCACTGATGATCAATTATATATGAACTTTCATCACTAAATACTCGTGATCATCATTGAAGAAATATAACTACAAAACCAGTACACAGGTGTGGATAAATATAAAAGGCTAAGTGGCAAAGCCGCCATATTGGTCAATTTAGCTCCTTAATCATAACACACCTTATACCAGCTAAACTATAAATTCGCGTTCAGCTATTTCGGCATCCTCAACAATCAGTTTCCAAGTTGGGTCACCCTCTTCCCATACTGCATCCATAGGTAACCCGAGTCTTTTGTCCAAGGTGCGATACATAGAATCGATCTTCCGAACCGTCAGATGTATTTCTCAAGAATCTGAAGTCCTCGCTGTTGAGAAACTCGTCATAATCCTTGTTGTGGGGATAGTACTTCTTTTGGTTCTTCACCATACGCGTTCCAACCTCCAAAGAGCATGATCTGGCTGGTGCTTCACCCTCGTATATCACCGTCATTCCGTGCTTCGTACTTACTGCATTGACGTCGACTCTATGGACTACTAGGTGTCTAGTTCTGATTTCGCAGCCGCAGATCGAATTTCCTGTATGCCCTCAGAACTGAATACGGTGCGACGAGATTCAGGTATCTGAGAGGTTGGTGCATGACGAGAGCCTTCAAAGACTCGATGCAGCTGTCATCAAGATAATTGAACTTTTGCTGGTGCGCTTTGGTCGTTGATGAAGCAACAAGATCCAGTGTCCGGATGGGCACATTGCCCTTGACAATTGCAGTTGCCAAGCAAACCACCCCGTTACTTGTGAGGCCAGACGATGCGCAAGTTAATCGTACCAAGCTCTTGTTTTTCTCGAGACCAACCGAGAGAACTTCAGTACCAGCATCCCCTAACGGGTTTGTGGATAGAAAAAGGCTCTCAAGGGAGCAATTTGGTGATGAGATGTACTTGGCAAGACCGGCGCAAGCTTTCTGACCAATTCCGTTGGCATTTAGATATAGATGCCGAAGTGAGGCGGGTTTGTCACAGATTGCATCAATGAATTGTGAGGTTCCCTCATTTCCCAGTTCCGTGGTCTCAAGATCCAAGGTGCGGAGGTTTTGTGTTTTAAGAACCAGCTCTGCAAGCAGAAGGCTGGAGTTTGGACCGAAAGGGTTTCGCTTGAACCACAGATTTGTGATGGAAGATGACTTGATCATTTGTGGTACTAATATTGAAAGACCGTGGCGAGTGATGTGGCATCCAGCAATGCACCAAGTTTCCATTCGATCAGGATGCTTCTGCACGAATTCTGCTATCCGTTTTGCCCTAGTGGTAGATATCGCATTATTCCCCAACAAGAAGTGACGAATTTGGTGATTGGATTCCAAAGCCTCCATCAACTTTCCAATGTGGGTGGGGCCCACGACCTTCTTGCACAAGTCCATACGGCCGTCTTCGTAAACGATTCCTCGTTTGAATTCCACCAAAGGAGTTTTCCACAAAAGCTCGAGACCGTTTGTAGCTTGGGAATCATCAGCATCGGTTATTACGACGTCTTGAGCCAAGAAGCGGAAAATCGGCTCAAAGTCCTCTTTTTTCCCAATCTCAACTGGCATAGGAATAGCAGCGGGTCCCTTGAGATCAACAGGATCAAGTTCTTGACCCGCCCAAGGACCTTGGACTTTCACTAACCTTCCACCAGTATTTGTCTTTCGGCGCAACTCTTCTTTCAGTTGTCGCGGTTTGTTTAGGCGGACAACCGCTTTTCCATGGAGCGTCACACGCTCGTATTCGATAATGGCGGCAATTTCGGTCATTTTTGGCCATAGCAATGCTGCCAAATCAATTGCCAGAAGACGTTGTGATTTGATGCGTGGAAGTGGAAGGGCCAAAATGGCATCACCGTTGCTGAAGTCATCCCCTTGAAGGGATTTAATCGTGGCAAGATGTTCCTCTTTGCTGAACGAAGTGTATGTACGAAGTGCATGTTTCTTACCCCCATCATCAAGACGTGGATCAAAAGAGGAGGAGTTTGCCAGATTGTAGACAGAGGTGGTCGGCGATGAGTCACACCCAGAAGTGTACTCGTCCATGGCTTGTTGGAGAGATCTTCTCGGATCGGAAGTCGAACTTTAATTAATCGATTAATTGAGGAGACGAATAATATTTTGATATGCTTCATATGCTGTGAGTTGAATGGAAACTCAATGAATGAAGAGTGAAGAACTGACTTTTATACCAGGTACAGTATAATGTTGAGCCTAATTACTTCTGTCATCGACCTCAAGGCCGTTCTAATCGGGCGTTTCGCGTTGCAACTCCTACATATGCGTGTCAATTAAAGAGCTGAACTAGGCAGAAATACACTACATTGTTGTCAACGGCTTGACCTCTATGACATGCTTCAATCTAACTCGGAAGTACAGTTCATAAGCTGTCTTCGCTAGAAGGTTCTCTTACAGCGCAAAAGAAAGACGCACTAACTTTGAAATTGAATGATGTTAGGTCCTATTTTCTGAGAATATTGTGGCACAATCTCTATACTTATTGGCGTCCTTGGAAGGTCTACAAAGCGTATCCACATGACCGTGGGGCAAAAGTGGCTCTCGTGCTCTACTAGCTATAATCGTAACTTCGTAAGCCAAAGTCGTAAGTCTACAAAGTCCTTTAGGTCATACACGCTATAACTTCAGCCTAATAGAGCCTAATAAGGTATAAACCCTAAGTAAGCATATAATAATATAATATAGCGTATTCGACAGCAAATAATTAGTTCACTCCCTAAAATTATACAATATACCTACCTAGGTAGATCTTTAAAAGGAAAGAGACTTGTAGTATAGACGTCTAAAAAAGACCACGAATATGGCATACAGAGCGCTCACAAGGTCGATATTAAGGACGATATTTTGATCCGAGCAAAATATCCTTTTGCCTCTGTCTTTCGGTCTTAGGAATATTGTGCCTCAATATCCTAGGATTAGAGTTTACTGGGCTATACTAGGCACTTGGCGTCTGTACGTAAATTAGACGGACCCTTGACAGCCAAAGACTGTCAACATAAAATACCATTCGACGATATTGCGGCTCAATACCGTCTCAGAAAACAGGCCCTTAACGATCCACGAGGTTCACACGTGACCTAAGCTCATCGGGCCTTTTTCTGAATCACACCTAAGTCCATGCTCAACAGCGACAAATCAAACACGTCTCTTGAATCATAACGCAAACCCCGATATGCCTTTATCGGGACTCGATGAAATACCCTTGATAGGGTTAGGCACTTTTCGTCTCAAGGGCAATGCTGTGCAGCAGCCGCTTCGGGATGCCATCCACCTTGGATATCGACACATAGACACAGCCGCCATCTATCGAAACGAGAAAGAAATCGGCTTTGCCCTTCAAGAACTATACAAGGATGCTTCATTTCAGCTTGCTCGCTCGGATCTCTGGATCACTTCCAAACTGTCACCCTATGACATGGAACTTCCCCGTGCAGCGTTGCTGGAGACGCTATCACATCTTCAAGTTGAATATCTCGACCTGTATCTGATTCATTGGCCTGGAATCGCTCGGAAACCGTCTTCGAGTCCATTGAATAAACAACTGAGGCTCGAAGCTTGGAACATGCTCAATGAAGCCAAACGTGAAGGACTTGTTCGCCACATCGGTGTCTCCAATTTCACGCCAAATCACATCCAAGAGCTGATAGCCGAAACCGAATATGGAATCGAAGGTGCTTTCATTCAGATGGAAGTCCATCCTTGGTACTGGAGAGATGCCATGGAGATCCACTCATGTTTTCTGGAACAGAACATAACCATGGTAGGATACGCATTACTGGCCGAAGGGAAACTCTTGGCTGAAAGCTCCCTGACTGCATTGGATCAAATAGCACAAAGATTGGGTGCAAGTCGAGTTCAAGTGACGCTTGCTTGGGCAATGTCTAAAAATTGGGGAGTTCTTGTACGGTCCCAGAATCCGGAACATATGCGTCTGAACCTGGAGACGCTGTCCTTGGTTAGCTCTTTAACAGCAGAAGACTGTACTGCGATTGATAAAACGTCGTCTCCAAACAACGAGGAAAAACAATGCTGGGATCCCAGAATAGTCACTTGATATCAGACGGGATATTGTTGGGAAGGCTTGACAGCCTCTTCCGCTGTTTGACATCCTATTTCTTGGTTGTCAACCAACAATTCCCATCTCAATACAATTAATTTTTGGTGTTAAATACTCGATTATTACGATTACTAGTCTCTTCTCTATGCCAACAATTCAAGCGGCGGTGTTCTACCCGCGCCCAGCTCAAATGGCTTCGATTCAGATGGCAACTCGTGTGGTTTTGACAGCATCCTACCAGACAATTGTGCTGTCTCCACAGTATTATCTTTCGCATTTGGTTGCCTACGCGAAAACCAGAGATATGCCAAACCTGCCAAGATAGCCAATCCAAGTACTCCGCATCCAATACCAATTCCTACTCTAGCACCAGTCGAAAGGCCTGTACTTGAGTTGTGTGGAATCGTTGTCGGGAATTGGGGCGAAGCTATGGATATAATTGACGAAGTGGAGGGAGCTGCACTATTCATCGTGCTCGTTGTGCTTGGATTTCCCCTTGTGCTAACCAAACTCGATACACTCGTCGACGCTATCGTAGAAATTGACGCTCCAGACGGCCCCAAAGTATGAACATCCGTATTGAATAACACCTGAAATCTCCCGATTCCCGAATCGCAACAATCGGTAGTATGGTCGCAACAGAAATCGAGACCTGTCTTCCCACATTTTGACAACTGATGATATCCGTTCCTCCAGTTTTGGCATCTGTGGTTGTCAACTTCTGACCACAATACAAATGTTCACATGCTTCTTACCAGTACAATACTGCGGGCAGTCGGAAGATTCCCATTTCTGGTCGGTACAAGTGCCTCGAATTAAGTGACTCACTCCTACTGATGAAGGGACTTTGCAAAGTCCTGATGCTTCACAGATAAATTCTTCACCACAACATGCGCTGGCTGCCTGTCCCAGAAAGCAGGGATAGTTTCCCGGGGCTCGTATGCCATCTGGGTTATAGCAAAGCGCGTCTTTCGCGAGCGCTGAGGCTTTGGAAACAAAATTAGAAAGAATAACCAATGTATTCGACACGGAAAGGGATGAGAATGATTTCATCGTGAAAACGTTTGTCCAGGAAAAAAAAAAAAGGGGTACCCATCTTCAGTCTGGGTATAATGCTAAGATTACGGAGTATCGCATTTCAGGAGGATTGCGGCGCAGTTCAGAGCACTACAATAGTGTGATTTTCAAGAACACGAAAAAAAGTGCGAAATCAGGAACTCGAGCATATGCCACCACTCTACTACAGAACAATCACGCTTCTAGAATATTAAGCCCTGCGGAGAGACTATACTTTAACACCTTTAAAGTAGGTGTATCTAATCATTATATATTCTAGGAGCGTTGTTTTATTATAGTCTACTTGTACTCGTAAGCAAGGGTGAAAAGTCGATTCTTACCTACGACCGCGAGGCAATGGCGGGGTCAGGTCTTGGCAGAGAGACTTACGAAAATCGACTTTACCCCCCTTTCTAAAATACTAAACAACTACCCTACTAGAATATATAAAAATTAGACCCAACTACTAGAAATATACTAGAGCTTAGTTGTCTCGAAGAATTTTATCTTTAGACGCCTTGTTGTTCTATTATATAGAGGGGATCACTTCGTGGCTTTGACGTTCGCACTTTTTTTGATGCTCTCGGCCGCCCGCGTTTTTGACACTACTTATGCACACAGCGTACCGTTATAACACTAGAAGGCCTCCAAGGCACCACCAATGAAACCATCGGGGGAGGGGGAGGGGAGGGGGGTTTCAACCATTTCAGTAGACAGGTGATCAATCGCTTGCGTTACTAATTCACAAGCGATGTTTATGTCATGAGGCATGGTTTGGACGTCAAATTCTTGTTATAAAAGCTACCAAGTCACTCTTGATATCTCTGCTCGCGCCCATCTTCCACCTTACAGTTTACCCTCAAATAATTGGTTATAAGCCGTCATATTTTTAACAAAATGAGAACGCATTGAAAGGTTGAATTGGAGTAGTTTTTGTTTCAGGTGTGGTAGCGGGAATGCTTGACAATATTCGAATACTCTATTGTGTCGAGACGTTTCCTTTCTTACTTACCTAATGATTTAAAGTTATGGTGCCCAGGTCTTTGCTGCTTTAGGAATACTCATGATTTCTTTGTAAAGATAATTTTCTTTTGCATGAATCATTTCTTCGAAACCACACAGCGGCTTTCCAAACTAGGATATCATTTGACCAAGCTCCCCGAAGGTAATTCGCAGAGTTAGTTGGAGGCAAAATGCGGCAACCCTTCTCACTGAAACAACCACTTGCGCAACAATACCGTCATGGACGCGATACTCAGATCCCATCTCCAGGCGCGATCAATCGTCCTTTAACGCATTGGGAGATCGAACTTGCGCAACATGCGCGTAATGAACAAAGAAGAATTTTCGGCGGCTTTACACTCAGACAGTTGGAAGATTTAGGCTGTTGGGATAAGCCTGATGCAAAGCTAAACGATCTGACCTGCCCGATAAGTCCGGTTTTCCAGAGGTCTCAGTGGAGGAGTACAATACCGTCTGGAGACCCAGAACAACAGATTATAGATATCGATGATGAGTTTGTATGGGAAGCCCTGGTTCCCTGCTTACGTATGGCTTCTACATTTCTCGAACACCAACATTTATAGCCCTGGTGAGCTTAGCTGTCCTTGATGTTTCGGCTATGTATATGTATACCTAGTACTGATACAGATTATCAATAGGCTATTCGAATTTATTTGTGGACCCTGGACCCACGAAACTTCGGACGGTCTGAAAAAAAGGGTCGGATCATCCCTAGAAAGACCGAGTAAGGGACATTATACCTTTGGTGCCCCGCGGAGACGGCCTCAAAGCGCAGCAGACCCTCCAAGGAAGACAGTTGAAAACAGTCGAGAAGAGTATAGAAATATGCTCAGAGCAATGGAGGATATAGCTACATTTCAGTTTGTGCGGTCGGCCGAGGCGAAGGACCCAGAATCAAGGTTTGCCACTTCGGCATGGGTTACTCAAGACCAATATGGCAGAGGAACTATACATATCCCAGAGTGGCTAGTCAATCCATTGATATCAAGTACTCTTACCGCCTCTGAAAAAGCACATCACCAATTTAGCGTAGCCTCAACGGTTAGTTACTACTTGTCTTTTAGTACGCACACCTTTAACTGACAAGCCAGCTTACACAGGAGTTGATGGTATATCATCTAATTCCTATATGAATATATGTGTTGCCACTAATATTGCTAGCCAATAGCATGTGTTTAGCTTTTATCAAACGTACGATCGTTTAAGGTCAGGCAAGATAAGAAGACTTCGAAGTGCTTATTTTGAGCCTGTTAGAGCCCCCCTTGTAATTCTTGATGGAACGATCTGCTAAACATTTATCTTCTAGTTTTACAACGAAGAATACATTTCCGAAGTAAGGTACTCCTGGGAAACAAAAGTAGGTCTACTTTTGTAGACGGAGACTTCTTAGACCAAATACTGATCTCTTGGGTAGATATTTGGGGGCACCACGTCGCCTTCAATAGCGATACCATAACTGTATTTCAATTGGCAATACACTTCTTTGCCCCTGCTTTCTACTTATTGTCAGGACTGGCTAAGCTGGAAGAGAACTCAACCAGACTTTCCTGGGTTAGAATTATTACGATATCCTGATAAATATGGAAAGGGATCAGTCCATACCCACTTCCCAACGCCTACATGGCATCTTGAAAATATTTCGCAGCAAGAGTTCTGGAACGTTCATGTCAAATCACTTGGAAAAGAGGCATTGAGAATCCCACGTATATATGGTACACGTGAAATAAGAGAAGGCGTGAATGAGTATACTAGAGGACGAGACTGGGATGAGATGACCAGAGGCTTGGGGCCTGACTATAGTGTCCCACCGCCTCCTTTGAACGCGACAGCGACGGAAAAGTGGAAGTATGAGCAACGTTGCCGAAGTATACACGGTCTCCTTAGATCTTATCTCGGAAGGCAAAAGGAAAGAATGAGGGAAGCCAAACTCGAAGATGCCATTGACGCATATTCAAAATCGGATAGTAACACTCTGCGAAAACTACTTGCGGACCTCCCTCTTCTCGACGACCCTTCTATTAACATCCAGATCAGTACGCTTCTTTGGTTATTCTTCATGGGCTCTGAACATAAAGAGGAAAGGGAGATTCCAATGAAAGAGGGCAAAAGAGCCAAGAAATCTCTTGTATGGTTTATGACAGAGGCATTCCCTGCACTGAAGGACAAGAAGATAGAAGAGATATTAGATCAACCGACAAGTACGATAACAGCACTGTTAATAAGACTAGCGGAGATATTGAAAATTGGGAGACACATAACTGCCCAGGATTATATAGAAGGGATTTGGAAGAAGGTCTTTGCTGTTTTTGATAATATGGAATCAGACAACGAAAGTTCGGATTCGGAATCGGATTCGGAAGAAGATCCAATGGACGTCGGAGATCCAATGGATATAGACAACTAGTGATCGGTCGATTGTACAACTAAATCTAAGATTTTTTGCGGAAATTTCGCTTGAGATATTAAGTTTGAAATCCTTTGATCCTACAAAGAGTGGTTTGGAAAAGCCATTGTACACATAATGACATGCACGGGAGCCGCAAAATGAATCACCTTGGGTACATTTGAGAATGAGATGATGAAAAGAAAGAATAAGCAGCTACTACAAAGGCCCAAAGGTTCAAGGGTTGAAGAGCCTGGTTTTTTCTGACGCCACAACCTTCTCGCCATCGAAAGCCTTGAGCAAGAAAGTATAATAAATGATGAAAGATATGGTCAAATCTAATTCATTATCTAGCCTAAACAAACCTGGTATTGCCTGTAACCTAAACGCCTATAAACAAAAACAAGCACTATTTGATGTAGCTATCAAAGCTATCAAATGAAGTATCCATGGCGTCATTAGCCGCATGATTGTAAACAAACTTGACCTCATGTCTCCTCTCCCACCCTGCGTCTTTGGTCAAAACGACATCACTTCTCACTACCTCGGTTCTTGTCACCTCTGTTCTAGAAGGTCCAACGCCTCCGACAACAGCTCCCGTTTGAACGACCGGCCTTTGAGCAAATCCACCAGCAACGCAAGCTCCACCTCCCCAGGTAGCTTTAGCAGCTGCATTCCAGAATGGCCGCACATCCCCTATCATCTGTGGGGTGTAGTATAGCCTGCAGTCCGCTAATTCCTGCACGAATTGGGCAGGGACTCCGTCACCCATGTTCTGCGGAAGAATGTTGTCGCGAAGATTGACTCCAGTGGCGCTACTTCGATTCACAGGAAGATCAGACATAACGAGTAATTCAGCTGCTGTAGTCTTCGAGCGCTTCTGTTGAATCGCAAGCGCACGCTGTGCATCGTTGAAAATGGCGGACCACGCATAAGACTGGCTTCCCTTTACACCACCTATCCCCTGGATCTTAGTATTGGAGGGCCGTCCACCAACGGCGACGGACTTGACATTTCCCTGAAGGCGCATAAACTCGCTAAATATAGTGCAGGTTGATGCACAGAATCCATCATAAAGCTATCGTTGATCAGTATTCCCCTTTCGTTAGATAAACTTGTGAAGATGACCTACGAGTATGATATCCTCAGCGGGAAATGGTTGAGTTACTTGCGACAGGTTTCCATAGCCAGTGATATTTATACCTATACCATAGGTAGTATTGGCGGTACTTAATGGATCAGCCATATCCCAGCGAATCAACGAGCTAAAGGTGTCGCCTTTGTCCTTAGTTTTGTCCCCAAACTTAGTTTCGCGATTCGGGAAAGTGTTGTTTGTCATATCCAAATCAAATTTGTAATTGTACCAAATCTCGTACGTTTGTATTTCCTCGTCCGAACTGGAGAGTTTAGAGAAGTTGGGTGGAATTGATTCGGATACAATCTCGCTAATTTTCGTGAAAGCAGCGTTTTGTCTGAATCGAGTGAAGCCATCTTGGGCAATTTGGGGGAAGAATTGCCGGAAGAGGTCGTAACCAAGAAATAGGAAACCACCTCCATTGAAACTCGTGTCAATCACCATCTTCTTTTTACCAGCACCTTTTGCAATCGAGATGAATCTCTGGATCGTCCTTTGAAACTCGTCAGGCTTGTCGGGGGCAAACGTTAGAACTGAGAGGACGGCGACATCAGTGTTTCCTGGATCTTGAAGATAATACCCAGACACGGAACCATCGGATGCAATTATAACGGGTTGAGGGTATCCAGGTACTGTTGCAACAGGTGGTGGTGCAGTTGTGGGGGTTGGGGTGGATGTTGGGTTTGTCGGTGAAGGTGGAGCTGCTGCAGCCGGAGGTCCCGAACAAAACTTTTTGTAAAATGTATCGCCATCAACAACTCCAGTAAAGCTTGCCCTTAATTGGGCTTCATTCCTAAACTCTCTCGTGGTACCATTTTCGAATGTCACCTGCGTGGTTGGCCCGGGGAAAATAAAGCTCAACGGTCCACCTGACTGAAAGAAGCCATTAAATCCAGCAGACGCGCCAGCTCTGCTCACGAACATAGCATTATATGCCGCATCTTTGTCTTGAAAGGGAGTGTCTGGGTCAGAGATTTCCTGGAGGTACCTTGATGCTTCAATACCATTGATTTTGGTGACAGCTGAAGGCTTGAAAGTTGATCCAGGAAGCAAAGACGCCTGCGTATCGGCTAGGGGTGTTGATTTTAGCATCACAGCGTAGCAAAAATTCAGAGAGGGCATACTAACGCAAAGTATATATTTTTGGAATTTCAATTCCATCTCTACTAACAGAGACCAAAGACATCGATATCGGACGCCGGAAAACAAAAGCTCTCGTTAGAGCATCTGGGAAGAAATCAAAATGTCCATCGTGAGCCTGCGTAAAGACTTTGAAGAGAGCCGTTTGGAACTGAATCTCATTTCGGTATTTTCCAGCCGTGAGGTTGTTTTCAACAGCCTTGAGACTTTCTACTATATCCACAGGAGGAAATGGATAATCGGAAGGCGGATCTTTGAGGTAAGCCAGATCTGGTTCAAAAATCAGCTGTCAAGGCATCCCTCTCTCGGTTTGCCGTGTTTTACTAACCACTTTGCCATTCTACGTAAGGCTTTACTGCATCAACCAAGGCTTGAGCTTCCGGTTTGCGGAGTGCGACAGAATTTAGACAGTCAAATGCCAGCTGACCATCCACTATTGGTCTCACTTCAAGCAAGAACTGTCAGATTCATTTCTTATAGATCGAAAATGCTTTCAGGACGGTACCTTTTGGATTCGCAGCAAGTTGCCTAGCAGCCGTCGCAGCCACCACTCCGCATGGCGCGGTTCCATTCGTAGCTGGCGCGGTTCCATTCGGAGCGGCGTTAGGAATCGGAGGTGCGTTAGGAATCGGAGGTGCGTTAGGAATCGGAGGTGCGTTTGAACTCTGAGCGGCGGCTGGATTCTCAGCGCCAGTTGGATTCTCACCGGTGGTTGGATCTGGAGGTGCGGTTGGAGTCTGATTCTGACGGCCAGCGAGCTGATGTGGTACATTAGGAGGCGATGCGCCGACTCCAGCGATAGTTGCTAATGCAACAAAGGACACCCAAAAACGCATTGCAAGTAATCGACCAGCAAAACTCAACTACACTTAAAAACGTTTAAAAAGACAATAATACCGCTCAATACAATGGGGCAGCCCCCGCGTTTGTATAGCGAGCAGCAGCCCCATCGGATTCAAGGCACATTGGCACTTGGCACCCTGTTTTGCCATCTCGGAAGGGGCAATCTGAAGTAGCCGAAACATCATCTGGATCGCGACCTTTTTCCTGGGACTTTTTCTTTCGTGTATGGGACATTTCGTGCGTTCAGAAACCGAAGAGGTGCACAGATCTGGCCCTACTGGTAGCTCAAGATAAACGTTCAATAATGCAACAAATCGAAAGGCGGCATTGCTGAAACTCTAGTCCAAAGCATCAAGCGGTGTTGTTGAAATAGTTTCATTTCCGTTTTAGGGCACGAAACGTGCTTTGCTACTTGTGGTTTTTACAGCAGTACGAGTACTTACAGAACATTAGCCGACGATTCACGACGCAATCCGTGCACCTCTAAGCATCGATCGCCGCCGGATCACACCATACAGTATCTACAGTGCGTTACCGGTACTGGTACTTTAATGAACTCGGTAGTGGTAAAGTAAGCTTAACTCCTCCGGCAATCTGTCACAACCTTATTATTCTCCAAAGGCTCCCTTTCCACCTGTCAGAAACAATATTCGCTTAAGGGTTTCCAGCGCTGCTCCTGCTCCCGCTTCCGCCTACATCTTTTTCTTCATCAAATCAGCGTAATTCAAATTGCAGAAACATGCTTCCGCAGGTAAAAGGGGAGTACCTCTTAGCTCCTAACAGCAAATTGATCTTCGTGTGCCTGGACTAATACTGTACATTCAGACGGCAATTCTACTCGAAAATTGATTATAGCTATTATGCCGATCAGATACTATCCGAGTATCATTAAAATTGAGACACTAAATTGGCCATGTCGTCGATGCATTGACTACTAATTTTCAACCATACGGTCAGAAAATAGTGAGACCGACATAAGCAACTCGGTATTTTTGCAGCCAGTACTCGGTAATAGTGCCAAAAAGTAGTCATAGGCCTTTGGCTTCAATTTCCTTTATTGTCTTTGTACAAGTACGAATATATGGGGGAACACAGAACTATGTCTGCGAGGAGCAAGGGAAATGAGTAAAGTGAGGCGGACTGAAAATGCATTCCTGATTTCAATCGAATGCTACTGCTACTACTAGTAACTCTATCGATGGTGTACTCACTAGCCGAAACCTTAGAACTCTCGCCTGTCTCTACGAAGTTTTATCAGCCACTAGTTAGGCTCTTGGCTCTTTGCTGGACAATACGACAAACTGGGAGAAAGGTATGCCCATGTCCATTTTGACATTCAAATTGATTCGGTGCTCTTTCTGGGCTTTCGAATGGCGGCAAGAGAGGAACAAAGCTGATTGCTTGGTCTGTTCGGAATGGCGGAGCGTCCGGTCTAAAGGAATCAAAGGATTTGTTCTTTGTTAAGATCATTCTTTTAGGGCCCTTTTGTTGTTCACGATCCAACTCACGAGTACGTCCTTTAGGAACAGTTGTATTGTTCCACATAAATATATTTGGAGTTCTAATTGATGATATCCTGTCAAGCACAGCAGTTCATTACTCTTTGAGCCGTTTATATAATTTCCTGTCGTATTCCAGTCATAATAATGCCTTCTATCATCAGTTCCACGGCGCAAGCTATTCCCCTGTCACCGGGTCCAGCTCCGATTCAACCACCACTACCATCTCTCCCAAGCCCGAAGAAAAAGATTCGCCTCGTGGTTAACGCCACCAAGATGTGGGAAGCTTTAGGCGCCATGAAAGCTCCGGAGTATTAAGTTTTGCCACATGCTGAACTGATACATCTACGACTTGATGAATAAAATAGATCTCCTTTTGAATGATTCAATTTTTTCCCCACTGCAACCTTTTTTCAACTCATGACTTACCCTTCTTTGTGAAATGCCCGCTGGGAAATAATTCTCTGTGGTTCATAAGCTATAACAATAATGGCGTCTTGGTAGATCAAACCTTCCTAATGACCATGTGCCCCATGTTGAAGGTAACATTCGGGAAACGATCAGTTTACAGTGGCCCCCTCAAGCGATCTCCACACTTCTCAATGGGAACGAACAAATTCTTCTTGAAACAAAGTCATCTGATCTGATTCCCGCTTTAAATGTATATATATATATATATCCCGCTCTTAGACATTGGCAGGATCTGGCTCCTACGCCACCTGCCAAGTGAAAACAAGCAAATTGAAGTAATATATCAACTCATCGACTTCTGTCCACGTAATCCTACGAAAATGCTCATTCTGATGAGGTCTTGTCTCTTGGGGCAACTCGGAGAAACATTGCAATGTACATCCATATACAGCGGGTCGAAGTTGACCGGCACAATACATCTTCACAATAAAATTTCGAAATGAATTTCTCAACAGTGTAATTGCAGCAGCCTGCTTCAAATAGGAGGATATTGATACAGTAAAGATGAAATCAGGCCCGACCAGTGGCTCAGACTTATAGTAGAGCGAGTCGTGTACGAGGAGGCCGATGTCCCAGATCTTGATTCTAGAAGAAAAGGATTGGTGGACAGCCATTTATGAGATCCGAAAAACGTGTTGGTTGCGAGTTTGGCGAGAACGCTGCTTTTGGTGTCAAAGACACAAGATAAGAGGCTAATGCTCCTTCAGGATAGTTGATCAAACTAGATTATTTCAATTTTCCGAGAGGTTGCGGCTGCTAGATTGGTTCTCAGCATGTGTCGCAGTGCAGCAGCTTGTTTTACCCCTTAACGCACTGTTCCCATCCTACCAAGGTTACCCAAAGTTACCGAGCTATACCGAGCTCGCTGAATTCTAGAATCTGTCTGATCAAGGATGACATTACTCAAAAGAAGTGCCGTATTAGTTACGTATGATGTGATAACCTTTTAAAAATAAAAGGTACGTCCAGAGACAAAAAAGAACCCTACCTTATTTAGAAATATTATCTTGGAATCTAAATAATACGGTATCTTCTAAATTCATCAGATGCCACGCCCTTAGCGAAAGAAAGGATATTTCAACTACATAATCACTATTCAATGTATAGCTGAGCTAAATAGAGTTCAGGAGCGGCTACCACTACATGGTAAGTAATAAGTACTAGATTGAACTACATAAGTAGACATAATTAGTACCTATGTAAACACGTGACTGGAGATCGAAACAATTGTCCACAAATGATACTTAGCTCTCTTGTTTGTTTCTTGTTTTTATTAATAAAAGGACTCCAGCCTTTTAAGCTTATTGTTGCCCCAGGAGTCTCCTTTGAAATTTTTGGTTCACCCAGTCCTTGTAAAAGTAACCAGGGGTAGCGAAATAATTAGTTGTTATTCAGTGTCTACTTTACCTAGAGAACCTAGTAGGAGTAGAAAAGTTAATACCTTATCTCGTCCTAGTTAATACCTTATATATACCTAGTTAATACTATATTAATAATTGAAAAGATTTATAGAATATTAAAAGATTAAAAAAATTAATAATCTTTAAACTTACTTTAATTAAGTAGAATACTTAAACAAATACTCTTATAAGCTTATAAATCCGAAAAAACTCTTATTTTATTAAGAATCTATAATTTTCTTATACTACTTTACTTTTATAAAATCGCTTTACTTAGATATCTAGCCTTTTAGTAAGAGTATTAGGAAACAAGTATAAATAAGGTATTAATAACTAATTATATAAGAGAAGTTTTCTTTTAAAAATAATTTTCTTATAAAAGGGTCTATGAGTCTCTAATAGTTATTTATTTATCCCTATAGCGTTTTCTATAAGACTTTTTTTTATTAAGTATAAGATAAGTTTTCTTAATTTCGCTAAGTACTTTTACTAGTCTAGTAACTAGGAATGGACTTTTATTATAGTTTTAGGTATATAGATCCTACTATATATATACTTCTAAGTACTACTAAGTACTACTTATATATTACTACCCTTCTTTTACCCTCTCTTTACTCACTTATTATTTCTACTATTCTTACTTATAAGTATACTTAGTTGTTTTATTTTTACTTTTTTTAATTTCTACTTATAAATATACTTAGTTATTTTGTTTTATTTTTTACTTTCTTTTATCTTTACTTATAATCTTTATATATATTTAATTTAAGTAAGTAATTTAAGCTATAAAAGTATAAAAATAAGTATAGAAATAAGTATAGAAACAAACATAAAACTATATAGAAAAAAGTTATAATTTATTAATAAATTTAGATATTTTAGTAATTATTTATTAATAACTATAACTAAGCGTATATAAAAATATATATAAGGTATTAATAACCGGTTATCGATATCTTATCCACGCTCGGTCTTCCTAGGGGAAAAGATTTACTATTATAAAAACGCTATAAATAATTTTATTTAATTATAAAACCCTTATTTACTATGAAATAATAGTAAAAATATTTTAACTAAGTTTTTCTATAATAGAATAAAATAGATATCCCCGCTAAGATAAGTTTATAAACGCTTCTAACCTAGTACTAGATTATATAAATAAATAATATATTTATAAGTAGTATACTAGGCTATTATATCTCCCTATAAGAGTAAATATAGATCTAGCCGAATATAGAAGTTATATATAGGAATCTAGTACTACTAGTTATTTCCTTTTTATACTATATTTATATATAATATAGTAATCTAATTAAGTAGTTCTTTCTTTATTCTTATACCTATTATATTCGAGTAATTAGCTTCGTATTCGCTAAATTCTATACTTTTTACTACTCTAGGTTTTCCCTTTCTATTATAATTATTAGTTTTACTATAATAGTAAGGTAATACAAGATAGTATATTTAGTTTATATTTATATAAGGGTTCTAAAAGAGTATATATTGCTAGCTAAGAATATATTATATAGTATTATATAGTATCTTAGATAGTCTTACGTCTTATATAACTAACTTCGAATATTCCCCCTAGGAGTAAATATACCGATAATAATATATTTAGAT